TGTCATAGTTGCACATCCTTCTAGTTGCTGTATGTGGGACTCGGCCTCAGCATGGCCCGAGAAGCGGTGCCTCGGTGTGCGCCCGGGATCCGAACCTGGGCCGCCAGTAGCAGAGCGCGCACACCCAACCTCTAAGCCACCAGGCCAGCCCTAAAAGAGCTTCTTTATCACTCCTGAGGTCAAATTAATAATACACATATTACTATGTCTGTTCTGGAAAAGTATGACAAGGGTCACCAAATATTGCTAATGACACACACAAAAAATTGAAAATTAAGCCTTAATTTTAAACAAAATTTGTAATATCCTGACTTTTGCCAGATGATTTGATCTATGTTTGGTGTAAAATACATTCTGAAACTCAGATACAGTCATGTGTCACATGACGATGTAACGGTGTACAACAGAACACATATACGATGGTGGTCCTGTAAGATTAGTACAATATAGCCTAGGTGTGTAGTAGGCTACACCATCTAGGTTTGTCTAAGTACACTCTGTGATGTTTGCACGATGACACAATTGCCTAACAACGCAGTTCTCAGAACATATCCCTGTCGTTAAGTGACGCATGACTGTATTTTGAAGTAGTATTTTAATCAAATTAATAAGTGACTTTAACTGGTTATGTTCTCTTTTTGTGAAGCTGGTATTACTGATATGAAGTACTCCAGGGGGAAAATAAAACATATTTCCTATTATCATCAGCATTTTATATTTATGTTACCAGATGTCAAGATCAAATGGGTAAACTGAATCCAGATATAAACACAGAATACAATTCTAGTCAACGGTCCACTCTTATGAAAGGACAGAGGAGGAGTACATGTTTACAAATGCACATGTATTATGATGGGAAGGCCTGGGGAGACTCGCACTTATATTTTCCTTGTGAAGTACAAGACGAGATCACAGAATGAGAGGAAAGCTGATGGAGCGGGGCTATAAGCCAGAGGAGAGTGTACACAGTAAGGACTGAGGTACTTTAGGGAGGGGAAGAGCAGGCTGATTAGAAGAATGCAGATTCTCAGGCACTGGAGAACTTAGTTGAAGTTGGTAATAATAAAAATTTAGCATTTCATTCCTCCCTTCCTCTCTTTCTACAATAACCAAGGTTATTTAAATATTAGATTATAGGCCAGCCCCAGTGGCCTAGTGGTTAAGTTTGGCATGCTCCACTTTGGAGGCCCGGGTTCGTCTCCCGGGCGTGGACCTACACCACTCCTCTGTCAGTGGCCATGCTGTGGCGGTGGCTCACATACAAAAGGAGAAAGATTGGTAACAGATGTTAGCTCACGGCAAATCTTCCTCAGCAAAAAAAATAATAAATAAATATTAGATTATATTCCTTATACCTAATTTTCCACCTTCAACTGAATCCCAAGCCTACCATTCTCTGATTTTCGCCCCAACCCTCTAATGAAACTACTTTTGTAAGGTTTCTACTTAAACATCACAGAGTGAATACAAGGAGTAATCTCTTCTCTCTCCTCGAACATCTCTAAACTGACAATCCAATAATCCATATACTCTCTCTCCCTCCCTTCTCTCCCTACCCTCCTGACAGAATATGAAAGCAGTCAATAGCAGAAGAGAAAAGTCAATCAAAGCCTGGAACCTGGAAAGCAGATAAACAAGTTGTAACTAATTAGCAGATGTAAGTACGCTGAAACCTAACCTGCAGAGCAAGAAGCCACAAAGACCTTACAAAGAGAAAACTGATTTGTGCCCCAGGACCACAGAAAGCCTCAGGAATTAGAAGCACACCTGGTACTTCTAAAAATGAATCCTGGAAGGGCCTGAAGACAGAAGGATTGTTTGGAAAGTTTTCAAAGTGCTGTGAAATCTCCAAGTCACCTCTTTGAGCCCAAGGAGACAGATTTCCTAAGAGGTTTCCTTAGGAGGGTGGGATCAACACGCCACACTGCAAATAAGGAGATGGAGTCCAAAGTTACATCCTGGAAGATAAAATACCCAGCTCCATTCCTCATACGGGCCTCAGAAGACAACAGCCAGGCTTCTGACCCACAAGGAATGGCGAGGACAACACAAGGAACAGAATAAAACTTGAAAAAAGCTAAGAGAAAAAGTTCTCAGAGACATAAAAAAACTATTACACCCATTAAATAAGAATAGCAGGCTAAAAAAGAAATATTCTGAGAAGGATGAAGAGCGCTGGGAAACAAAAAATAGAAAAGCCAAAGGAAGAAATTTAAAAAAAAGACTGAAAGACAAAATTAAAGAAATCTCCTAGAAAACAGAACAAAAAGAGATAGAAATAGAAAAGAAAAAGAAAGAAAAGAAAAGAAAAAGAAGGAAGGGAGGGAGGGAGGAAGGAAGAAAAATCTGAAGATCATCCATAAGACTAACAGGTATCTCAGAAAGAACTAATAGCAAAAATGGAAGGATAGAAATTATCAAAGAAATAATGTAAGAAACTTTTAAAGTATATGAATTTCTGGATTGAAACACTAATACCCAACACAATTTATTAAAGAATACATACATCAAGTCAATCATTCATGAAATTCCAAAATCCCTGGGAAAAGAAAAGTCAGACAAGCATCAAGAGGGGGAAGAAAAGTGGAAGTCTGATATGCAGGGTGAGAATCAAAAGGCTCTGGAGTTTCAACAGTAATTGCTAGGAGGTAGAAAGCAGTGGGGCAATGCCTTCAAAACGCTGTGGAAATATTATTTTCAACTCAGAATTACATCTCAGAAAAACTTTCAATTAAGTGAATGGTAAATGTAAAAATATTTCAGACCTACAAGATCTCCAAAAAATTTACTTCCAATGTATCCTCTACCAGGAAGCTCCTAAAGTATGTGCTCCATCAAAACAAGGAAGTAAATCAAGAACAAGGGAAACTGTCCAGAAAACAGGCAACTCAACAAGAGAGGCAAAAGGAATTTTCAGGATAATGGTGAAGAGAAGAACCAATAGAGTAGCTCTTCAGCAGACCTATCAAACAACAAATCCAAATTAGAAGAGGAGGATAGAGAGCTCCAAGAAAGAAAAAATAAAAAATAAAAAATTATATCATGCGTTTACTTAGCAGAGAGTTTGGGGATAAGTTGGAGAGACATAGAAAAATGTACACGTGGAGTGTGTATAAGAGAGTTACACCCTTGTTTTCCATAGGAAGAACTCAGATAATATCTAAAAATGAAAAATCAAGAAATTGCAGTACAAGCTACTGACAGTAGAAAATAATAGAATGAACAGCTAAAACAGGTGGTAAGTGGTTGAAAATCAGAAGCAGAAATGGCTGGTGGCATGGCAGAATAGCATAGTTTTTTATTATAAATCTTGAGTCTTTATACCATCAATCTTGAATAACTCTGGACTTTTTATACATATATGAGTATTACTTTCAACAATATAAAAATCAAATATTGATTATTTGATAATAATGCCAGTTATGTCTTGTTGGAACAAATTCCAAGATAGAAGTGATACCCCAACACACGAGTGAAAAAAAATCAAGGTTGCAAGAACAGTATATTTTAAAGGGGTGGAAAGAGTGTTCCACTTTTCCTTAGAACGAGAAATGTAACAAGGAGAAAGAGCCAGCTAATGTAAAAAATCATAACCTTTCTTGAACCCATCAGAGATCTGAGACTGTAAAGCAAACAAGTAAAATGAATTCCAGAGAGTAACAAACCCCTCTGAGGAGAGGCAGGGCTCACAAATCTTTCAACATTGGCAGAGCAACGAACGAAGAGATGAACGTCAAAAATGCAAGCAAAAAAGCATATGAAATGTTAATAATAAGACTGAGTGTTGAGTAGTACGACAGTTTAGAAAAACTGGGAACTCCAAACAGAAGCTCCTTTCCACAGGCCTCCCCGTACTCAGGAGGGCAAGTAGAGGTACAGCTGGACACAAGAGAAAGCCCCACTCAGCGGTGCATGTACGCAGCAGGTGAACGTCTGCCACCAAAAGAAAGGCATGGAACTTCACACAGCTCTACAGATTCTTCTCTCATACAAAGCAAACAGCTCAAGCCACTCAAGAAAGGAGAGAAACAAAGCTCATCTGCCTCTAGAGTAGAAGCATGAAATTCTGTCACCCTAAAGGCTCAAGCAAAGATTCACTGACTGCTTGTGGAAAAAGAGTAGATGCAAAAGCTACGTGCCCCTGGAAAAAAACAAAAAAAGGAGGGTAAAAAACCCTCCTGAGAGCAAGGCCCTGTACCAAGACAAAGCAGAGGTCTGAAAATGCTGACAAAGGGGCAGGAAGCTCTCTTGCACCCAAGACCACCCATAGGTCCAAAGTAAAGTGCGGCTACCAGGGGAAGGAGGCAGAAACATTGAGAAAAACCCACCTCTGAGATCCAGCACACCAAGTCTGCCTGATAATGAGGCTCGACAGGAAAATCAAGAACTATGCCCCCAAACCCACTACGATCTGATGATCAAGTAATAAGCAGCGTTTCCAGTGTTTCTC